ATACTGCCATTAAATATCTTGTATATATGAACCATTGTTTTATATCATACTTATATTAAATAGATTGATATACTATTACCAGAACCACTGATTTTGTTACAAACTGTTATTTAAACATTGTAATGATTTATTAGTGAACTATCATTACTGGTTGCAGGTCGGTGGTTTTTCTCGGTTTAGTCCGGTTTTCTTTCACCACTAAAACCTGGCTCGTCCTCTTAAAAGACTTAAGCTGTTTATAGGACGTAAAACCTAAACTAACCAAACCAAAATAAACTTTATCATAATACTATTATATGAATAATTCAAAAAAAATTGTGAACCTCTGTTTTACATAAAGTAAAACTATATACAAGCATATACGATATATTTCCTTGTAAACTCTATTTTCTCTATTTAAGCAAAGGCTTATAACATAAGCACTGTTTAAATTAATAAGGAAATTAGGTGTAATTGTTAGTACCATTTGGGATTATAGTTTCGCTTTTGATTTAAAAAAAAAAGGAGATTTAGTCAAGCATGATCTTATTTTAATTCTTTGATAACCCTTTATAATAGAATTAAACACGGAGAAAACATAATATGTTTGGTGACCATATTTTTCGTTTGGGCCGACTCCTTTAGGGGTAGAAAGATTGAAAATATACAACAAGCATAACCTTTATTATGGTTGTTGGCATTCTGTGTCATACCTACTCTTATCTACTTATAACGGTATAAACTGTTTATACTATTTTGATAATTACTCAATTGTCACTTGTAATGAATTTGCATTTTATCTTGCAGTTGTAATGCAGAATAAACATACGAATATAAACATATAATGATATGAAATATAGGTTTGTAAAATAGTTGATAAACAAATAAATAAATAAATAAATAAATAAATTAAAACAATAGATAAAACGGGCAAGTAAATGCTTGCCAAATGTATTAATGGATTGCATCCCCATGTGGCATGAACGTGTAGTTAATAAATTAATGAATTACTGTTTTTATCATAACAATTTATTAGTAATGCATTAATCCTTCGTTTATCATTTCAATTCATTTTCTAAATTATTATCATTTTTTGACACTATTTATTTTCATAGTTTTGCGGGTATGAATACTAGATGTGCCGAGTATAAATGTGTTTCACGACACACACACATCGATGATTTTCACGAAAGAATTATCAGTTTAGAATCAACAAATGCCATTAAAATAAACAATCGTTTCTTCTTCGGTGATATTAATTAATGCTAACCACACTCTAGTCAAATACTTGTCCATATAAAATACCACCCTGTAAGAATATCATGTTGAACTACCAACAAAATGCACTGTAAACGGTTCGAGTGAATGTTACTTTTTAAATATCAAGTTATCATTGAAATATAACTGTACTTTGTATATTTTATAGGTAATGAGTAAAACGGAAGTTTAACAATGAGAAACTTTCGGTTAATTCATTAATTAATTATTTGAATATTCAATTATTTACTTGATTAACTTGTTTGTTTAGTTAATATGAATCACATTTGCAATGTTTAAAATATCATTCATTTAAATGCATGATGACCAAACAAAGAGAGATGACTCACATAAGTTGTAAGCTTGCTATCAAATCCCTATTTCACTATGTATTGTTGTATGATTATTACTGCTATTACGAATCAAATCTATTGTTTAAACTAATATCATGAAAACACACGTATATTGTAGAATTAAATTCAAAACTTTCTAGCTCATATTTATTTACATTGTAGCGTGTAGACAATTAAGAACGCGAGCAGCATACTAAGAAATTAGTTCGAGTTTAGAACCATAAACCAACTAAGAGTGAAACCAAATCTACTCTCTTGAGTTTCAGTGACTGCTTGATGGATAGGATGAAATATAGTTTTAGTGACTGCATAGGGTCAAATAGCAACTGCTAAACACTGTGCTGATTGCTTTATATACATAAAATGAACATTGATTTTGTTTTTGTTTTCATTTCGCTTGTGAAATTCTAAATCATGTTTTCTTTATCTAATATTTAAAATATCAGTTGGTATCAGAGTGACGTTTTCTTCTTTTTGACATGAAAGATTATAATGCCAGCGCTATCAATAATGAAATCATCCAAGATCTGTGTATCATACCTACATGGTATTATTATAACAACATGATAAGAGTGAAGGTGAAAGCGAATGTTGTCAACATTTCCTTATAAATGCACGTAACTTTGAATCAAGCCATGAGAAAACTGGTGTCCACACGATTTTTGAGAATGGGTCTTTTGCGAAAATGAACTAACTTGAATAAATATTTTATGCAAGGTATTTTTGGCAAGTTATGTACACGTGTTATGATGAAGATGATGAATTGACAGACGTTTTTATTATTATACTGGTCTGGGTACTGTTTATTTTTTTTTTATTTCAGTAGTCATAACATGTAAGCGCTTTCCACGCAGATTATATTATTTGAGTGTATTATGTAAAATCCGTAGCTAATATTAATATCATAAATGTGCAAATCTACTAGTGGGGTGTATTATGTTCCACAATGCAGCGTAACTTTCCGCTGTGGGTAAAACGCGAGTACTCACAATGGTTCAATATATCGATCAAAGAACTCGAATAAATTACACCAACGCGAAACGCGCTGCCAGCAAATTCTCAAAAATAATACCCTATGGAATAAAACAACGTTTAGAGTACATCTGTTTGATTCAAGCAAACGGTCAAATCTCGATGTTTTTCCTTCGAATTTGTTTCTTAATTAGCAAAGTAAATGATATTGTGAATATTTGAGTTAAACAGTCAGAGACAAACACATATTACTGCACAACATTAAATGAAGTATAAAAATCATTTTTCTTTAGTATACAAATATGTTTATTGGTGGTACAAAATAATCGCACACGCCAATGATTGCTGAGACATATGTACAATTAAAAACATCACCAAACATTGATTTTCGAGTTTAACGGTCAGGAATATTTGTACCAGTCAAAAACTGTACGGATTTAGTAGTTATCGTTAATAATTTCTTTACTAGTAAGGTTCATTAAATAAATCTTCATTTAAACCCTATTAACTTTAATTGACTATCAAATGAAACGTTACAAAGTCTTTCTTATGATTTGATTTTAAGACATTTAACAATGAGAATAAAAATCGTAATCATACATATGTATTTGTAGTCATTTTCTAGGAATATCATAATAAATTATTAGTTCAGTAAAGCCTTCTGATTGTTTTTTTCATATCTCTTAGACTGTTGTTGTATTATTGTGTTTTTAATTTAATTGTCTCCTAGTTTCTTGTTGTTGTGTAGTTGACTCTTAGTTTTTTGTTGTTGTTTAATGGTCTTCTAGATTCTTGTTTCTTTGTCTCCTAGATTTGTGACATTTCAATTTTGTCCTAAATAGTTGTTACTGTCTCCTGGATTCTTGTAGTTTTATTGTCTCCTGGTTTCTTGGTGTCGTTTCATTTTGTCCTAGATAGTGTTGTTGTCTCCTGGTTTCTTGGTGTCGTTTCATTTTGTCCTAGATAGTATTGTTGTCTCCTGGTTTCTTGGTGTCGTTTCATTTTGTCCTAGATAGTGTTGTTGTCTCCTGGTTTCTTTTTGTTGACTTTTTGTCTCCTTTTATTGTATCTATATGCTAATTGTCGCCTAGATTCTTGCTGTTGTTTTATTATATCTCGCTTGTTCTTTCTTCCGTTTTAAAAACTTTCTATTTGTCTCATGGATTCTGTTTTCATTTTCTCGGCTCTTGTAATTTTTACTTGTATTTTGCCTTTGAATGTTACGGTTGTTTATTGTTTGTTTTATAAATGTTTGTTGATTTATTGTGTTATAGATTGTTGCTGTTGTCAAATTGTCTTTTGGATCTTAATCGCGCGCTACAGCCATAACATCTTTATAAAAGAGCAGAGCACATCACACTTGCGCTTTATTCGTTGCACTGGTTACCTGTACGATACAGGTCGCAGTACAAAATTCTGGTATACACATACAAGGCACTGAATGGAACAGCACCTCAGTACTTACCCTGTATCAGCCGTCAATATCACTGCGGTCGGAGTCAGAATCTTTGTTGTGTGTCCCAAAATCTTGTACTGTGACCGACGGAAACAGATACTTTGGGAGGGTTTCGGCTACGCTGTGGAATAGCTTACCATCTTCTATTAGGAAGTCAAATACCCTGGCCAAGTTCAAGAGGGGCATAAAAACTCACCCCTTCACGACTGCATTTTAGAATCTTTGCAAAGACGTCATGTAAATACCACCCTTTTATTTGTTCAATTATGTGCACATTGCTTGTTAAATGTATGAAAGTAATTGCAAGCCTTTGTTGTTTGTTTTCACAATTATAACCATTACTATTATCCATATGTTGTAAAGCGCCTTAGAGTAATTTTACAAATTATATAGGGCGCTATATAAATGCTGTATATTATTATTATTATTATTATTATTATTATACAAATGCATTTTTATCAGTATCATACCGCTCATTTGTGTAGTACACTTAAAATATATCATCATTAATCATCCTTTTTTCTTAGATAAATAATGAGAAATGCCTCCAAAGGCTTTCTTCAAGTGCAGGTGTTTTTTCCAATTTTATTTCTTCTTCTTCTAAATTTTGAGGCTATTGATATGTAGATATACAATTGTTTAACTGTGTTTTACAGTAAATAAACCACCCATGGATATGTTTTAAAAATGTACGATATTTTGTCTGTATATTATCGTATATTTGATACCTACGGAAAATATATCACAGTGCATAACACGTTGTAACTGAATAACACTTAAATAGTACGCATTTTCAAACTGAAATTTCTCTATAACAATTGCTTGTTGGAAGCGAAAGTGAAAGGAAAGCTTTCGAGATCAACACACGCCAATGAAGAACTTGCCAAGAAATATGTAAAATGAAAAATATCAACAACCTGATAATTTTGAAGATTTTTTTAATCCTAACAATATAATATATATATAGATTTATATGTACAACATAATTGTATATTAAAAAAATACGTTCACAGTTTCACAACATTTACACATGTACGTAAAAGTGTATTTCCGTGCGTCACATGGGTACGAGATCACAGGAAGAGCGTTCACTTGAAAAGGTAATTCCTTAAAGATTGTGAACTGCTCAATATTCAAAAACGTTGTCGTCAGATTACCGAAATGAAGCGTTTGAATTAAGAACATATCTCCATGTTTTTATATTCGCAATGTTAAACCGTAGGTTGTCTTGTTTCATGAAAAGAGGAAAGTTGCTTAACCGTTTCACCCCTATGTAACTTTAGAAGACTCTACCATGCATTGATCTGGATGAGACCATTATGGTCTACAGTGGTGAAAGGGTTAATACTGTCGATTGTGAAGTTTATAATTTGTCCTCGAAAGTAGAACGACATTCAGCGTGAGACAGACACACATTCGTCAAACAAATAGGTATTAAAATAAATTATAAAGTCGACATAATCCACACTGATTGGTCAGTTCCAATTTGGCGTTGTGGTATGTTTTGTTGAGCACCTGATGCTTGAAAAGAGATGATTGACGTGGATAATGGCAATTGATGATGAAACGTCCGAGCATTTAGTCACGTGATCACATTGCACATTTCTCGAAATATGGCGAATGATGAAGTGATGCATTCATACCGTTGGTTCCATAGGGGAAATAAGATTTCCGGTCACATGACGTGTTTTGATTATAACTCTGGGGAGGAAGACGCATACCTGAAAAATATAACAAAAACAATATATACTATTAATGCATTATTAATTTCGAGTATACATATATATATTATTTATTCACGTAGTAGTAAATAAAAGTACGCTTCACATAAAGGATATATGACAGTTCTTTTCCCATTTATATTCACAAAGCAAGTATCATTTTCTGGAAACCGAACAAAGGGTAAATACTATGGCAGTATATTAACTGAGTCACACGAATGCTTTAAACTGGGCGGTTTCCCAGCGGTGTAGCAGACGCATTTAAACAACATTGGCTGGTGGAGATATTCGACGGTAAATGTCATCGTAGAAATTACGGATCGGTAAAAAGAGTGGATTATTAAGATAAGACAAAGCACCTACGGACATACGAATCTGGAAATAGCTTTAACTACTTGGCCCGGATTTGTTGAGTAATTCTGCGACATATCACTAGGAGAAACCTAGCGATAGTAACACTAAGAATTTCATCTGTTTAGTGTTTCGCTTCACAAAAATGTGTTTTTCCCGTGACTTCTTGCTCCGATTTTTCGTCAAACCTATCCTTCAGCACTTTTTACATTATATAAATGGTATCGCCTACCATACAGCTGTCGGGTCGCGAGATGTGATATTTTGTGATCGAGCTTAGCTAACTTAGTTTAGTACTGTGGTGCATGCTAGCTAGTCATTCATTAATCGTGTGTAAATGTTACTGGAGAAATTGAAAAACATGAATAGTCAGTAATACATGTAATACGCGACCAGTTTCGTTACCTTTAACTGTGTATAATAAATGTAGATACACAATATTTATTTACACTGCTAAACATGATATTAGGCGAAATATGACATTTTCACAATTTTTGTGTGATAAGGACAAAGTATGAGTCAATATTATATGCATATAATTATATTCCTGGTGTTGATGTGTGCTGAATAAATTTTAGCAAATCTCTCTCATCACAAATAAACGCGAAAATTCATATTCCATAAAATACAATGACGTATAGTACATCAAAAATAGGTTATATGGCTTACACTGTTATTATTAATACACGAGCGACCTTGATAATTTCAAAAGTGATTGAATAATGAATTTAAAATGGACTAGTTATAATATTACTGGCTATAAAATTGATCATGTTACACATATCTCTTTTAGTTTAGATAAATATCAATGTTAGATTTTAATATATATAATTAATATATCCAAAATTCATAACATAATAAATAACCCAATTCAAAGCCAAAAACTATAATCGTATATTTCCATGTAAACAATAAAACAACAATTTGATATTAAAGATACATTATCGATCTATGTAGTTATACTATAATATGTCTGGAAACGAGGACGAATATAGAAATATATTAACCCCAATAAGAATTTTTGTTTATCTATGGAACTAATACGGCCTACCGTTCGCTCGTAAATTAGGTTTTATCATTATTTTCACGGTACACATTTATTACTTAAGTCAATGGAGCGGTAGTCAATTTATGGCAATCCTAGTTTATTTTATCATTCTTATTTATGATTAAGGTTAGTTAAGGTTTGTAGGTAAGTTAAGGTTTGTAGGCTAGTTAAGGGTCGTAGTTTAGTGAAGGTTTGTAGGTTAGTTAAGGCTTGAAGGCTAGTTAAGGAGTGTAGGTTAGTTAGGGTTTGTAGGTTAGTTAAGGTTTGTAGGCTAGTTAAGGTGTGTAGGCTAGTCAAGGTGTGTAGGTTAGTTAGGGTTTGTAGGTTAGCTAAGGTTTATAAGTTAGTTAAGGTTTGTAGGCTAGTTAAGGTGTGTAGGTTAGTTAGGGTTTGTAAGTTAGTTAAGGTTTGTTTATTTATTGTCTGATTGACAGGGTGTGTACTGGTGTAAATTAAATTGAACGTTGGAATATCGAGGAGAACGAAAAAGAATCCAGATACAGTCATTAAACTGTAAACAGAAAAGTTAATATTGAAGATACAGTCAGAATCCTTCAAATCAGAAAGAATATGCTTGAGAGAAAACGTTATATACAGTGCACAGTAAATAATTATGTATTAAGCGTACACAGGAGAATATAAATTATACTGAGTATGTAGAGGTATACGGAGAAATACATTTAGTTTAGATTATGTAGGAAATATAATTAATTTATTTATAGTATGCAATGGAATATGATATAGAGTTTGTAGAATATTGTAATTTATTTAGAAGATTCAAGACAATATCTAATTTATTCAGAATATACAGGATACAATTATTTTGTTTGGAGTATAAAGGATGATATACTGTATTTAGAGAATGAAGGAATACAATATTATTGTCATAATTAAGCAAAAACTACCATAGTTGTTTATTAAGATAATTTATTGACATGTTGCTTATAAGTGTAATATAACGTAGTTATAGTTTTTCTGTATTTATTAATAATTTTTCATATCATTAAATGTTGATATATTTTTGTATTTTGAATATATTTGTAACTGTTATGAAACAATATATATTGATTGATCCATTTACAAAAGAGATTACACGCAGATTTTCGCTATTTCATTATTCGATTATGAGTTATATATTTATTTATGTGGCTGTCACACTAAAATTGGCGTACTCATACACGAAGTATAAGCTATTTGTGGCATTCTTATTGTTTCTCGATAAGCTTCACATTCCTGTCTGAGTGGATTGTAGGTTGTGCCAGGACCTTGATATTTTTGTGCTTCTATCCTTCAAACCAGGCAATGTTATTTACGCATTATGAATAAATAGGTAAACAAATATATGTTACTATGGAGTTATTACAACCGAAGCCATAAATGACGTCATAGCTATAACGACAAATAAAACACATGAGACTAAAATGATAGATTTAATTTGAGTTCACTCTTAAGTGAAAAACTGTTCTAATACAAGGGCACTTCTCCTATGTATTGAGTTTACGGGTAGTATTTTGAGCAAGTTTAAAACTTTGATACTCGAAAAATTACCACAACGCCTTCATCATTTCCAATGGTGAAGGACATTGCAATAGATCCCTGTTTAATATCTGAAATATTTTGTTACGGGGCAATTAATATACATAACTATATGATACATGGAGTGTTATTATACAATGCTGTTTGTCTATGCCTGTTTCCCTGCCGAACCAGCGTACTATGCTATAAACACCAGCCGTGGGGTGGTCCGCTGGGGAAGGAATCGTCTAGCAACCATCTGCTTTAACACTTGGCCCCCCTTCTATGGCAGTTGACATTTACAACCCCGTTATTTGTATTGAAATACTCAAGCATAATCTAAAATAATATAAAATCAGTAATTCGTCTTTGTAAATAAAATCGGATCCTCTTCGTACACCAAGCGATATTTAGCAGTATTTTAGACCACCAGTTAGAGGCCATGCGCTCACAAATTATTTTGACCCCTCTGGTGTTAAAACAACACACAGGTAGTGAGATATGGGATGAGGAGGCGGCGGGGAGACAAGTACTAACATATGGTGGCTAGCAACTCAAGTTATCAACGTCGCTATCACGCCGACGGTTCTACGATTCTTATCACTGTTTTCATCTCCTAACCTCCCTATATATACTCATGTGAAAAAAATGCAAGAATTGAATTGTATTTCGAAAGCTAAACATTTGGCGCCTGCGAAGCATTTATTATTCCCGATGTGTCCCAATCACATTGTACAAATCGGAATCTTTCTTTTTCACATTCACAGAATATTTAGTGTCAATGTCAACAACGGAGCCATGTTTAAGCTGTCTGTTAAACGTAAACGAGTGCGTGACCCGTTGACTGCTAGTTTACTTAATCCACTATATGTAGTCCCCATATAATAATATGGTCGACCTTACAAAATTTGTTTCTATTGTTTCGAACTATTGTTAAAAATTATATATATATTTTCTCCATTATTCTGAAGTTGGACATGATGACACCATCGAAATCTCTTGTACTAATGTTTATTGTTTTATATATATACACGGTAAAACATATCTTGTATTCTATATCTTGTGTATTGCAATTGAACGGAAGCCATATTCACTGATTTACGCTGGAATTGCCTTAGATATTTCCCTTATTTGCATAACGTTTCTGTATTTTTTAACGATAATTTATGAGGTGACTATTTTAACGGGTTGGTATAAAGGCATACTCATGATCGACTGAACTAATAATCCCGTGATGTTTTCCCTTTAGTTTTGATGCCTCCTTGCATCCGACCGTTGTTTGTCGGTATCAACTTCGAATATCGATTTTGTCTTTACTTCGACACCACGATATATTTTTATGGCGTAAGCACGTGAGTAAATTATAATGCTACGTATCGCCGCTCATCGATCGAGGAAAGAGGCAAGTAATTTGGAAAAAAATGTTAGAACTGCAAATTACTACTTTTTGGGTTATTTATATTTTTGCTTCAAATATCACGTGAACTGTTTTTGTATAACTTAAAATATACAAGTTGTCTGAAAACAGGAATATAATTATCGCGAATTAGTATAGAATGACAAGGCTGCAAAATGAATTGATCGCGAATAATAATTATTCTACAGTATTTTAGAAAATAAAAACAGTAATTTTCTATTACAGGGACCAGCTTTGTTTTTATACGCTATTCTAACTATGCAATTACTTAACAAATAATTCATTTATGAAAATTTAAACAAGAGAAGATTTCTAGATAAGTTCATTTTAAACGGATTAGCGAAACCCGAGTGAAACATTATATTAAAAAGGATCAACAGAGTGAAAAATTAAGGTACTGTTAGATTAAAAACATTATGCATTCGTAACATTTTACACATGTTACATACAAAATAAGATTATATAGAAAAAATATATTGTACATATTACATACAAAATATATTGTGAGTCTAAGAAGCAATATCAACGGTAACTTCCGAATTCACACTTGCTAGTTGCAAACGATACGAATTACTTAAAATTGGTGTATGTGGCAAGGATGTCATTCCAACAGTTTAGAAAATACGATGTTTTCAAATTTTTGGAGCAATCCATTCCTTTATCAAGACA